GTCCTGCTACTGCTCTATAGACCAGGCTGGCCTTGAACTCACAGAGATCTGTCTGCCTCTGCCTCCTGAGTGCTGAGATTAAAGGTGTGTGCCACCACTGCCAGGCCTTACGTCTTGATATTACTCCTGGTACCAAGCGTGGTGACTTGTCTACAGACAGAGAAGACAGGCCTACCAGAATTGGAGGGTGCCATTCAGCAAGAGGGCAGCCCTGCAAGCCATTGTAACACAGAGAGAAGAACTTCTAACCAGAAGCTTGGGGTGTGTGGCCCTAGATGGAGCATTCAAGTCAGCTTAGGGTTTAGGCTTGGGTCTGACAATCTGATCGGGATAGGAGGGAGGGGCAAACGTGCTGAAGGTGTCACAACAAGGGTACGAGAAACCAACTGCAAGTGAGACCCCAGAAGAGCAGGCTGACGGCCAGAGCCAGTTACCGGGAAGCTTTCTTACCACACTGGAGTCTAGTCATGCATGCAGCCAGAGGAGGGCATGCAAAGGTTTAGTGGGGAAGGGACAGACAGACGTACACTTGGGAAAGGCTGTGCTTGTCCTCTCTGGGGGTGTCCCCAAGCAAAGACAAGCCAGAGGCAGGAAGGTCAGTGAGGAGGTATGCCTGTCCCTGCAGCACATGTCACAACGTCTTCATTGCCATCCAACCATTTCCTGAGTATCTCCTGTCTCCCCACTGGACCAAGATCACAGTGAAGGCAGGACCCTGACTGTCTCTCTGTCTCCTGAATGTCCAGAGTGGTGTCCCACAAGTATCATGAGCCAAAAGCCAAGTTTCCTTCTTAGCTAGGGTGGCCTTGATCAACAGAAAGCAAAGTGGGGTCAGCTGCCCCTGATTAAGGGGGCACAGGGGAGGCTGGGAAGGGAGGAAGGTGGTGTATTGGGGTCTCGACCTTAGGGATGTGGAATGGGGGTGTCCTCGTTAGGGTTATCATTGCTGTGATGAAACACCAAAAGCAAGTTGGGGAGGGAAGGGTTTATTTGGCTTACACTTCAGCATTGCTGTTCATCACTGAAGGAAGTCAGGACAGGGAACTCAAGCAGGGTAGGAACCTGGAGACAGGAGATGATGGAAAGATCATGGAGGGTGCTGCTTACTGGCTTGCTCTCCATGGCTTGCTCAGCCTGGTGTCTTATAGAACCCAGGGCCACCAGCCCAGAGATGGCACCACCCTCCATAGGCTTTGTCCTCTCCCTTCAATCAATTAAGAAAATGCCTACAGCTGGATCTTATGGAGGCGTTTTCTCAATTGAGTCTCCCTCCTCTCTGATGACTTTAGCTTGTGTCAAGTACATAAGGCCAGCCAGCACAGGAAGGGAAGAGGCGGGAAGCAGGTAGCTCCTGAGCGTTAGCTTAGGTTATGTGGGGAGCCCTGGCTCCCCATTTACAGGTTAGGGGTGAGAACTTGGGTCTAATACCAAGTGAGATGGATAGAGAGAGTCCTCTAGGTATTTAGTAGAAAACCAAATCTGTATCTTAGATGTCTGGGCTGGCAAAGAGATTTGGGAAGTGATATTCTGCACACACAAGTGCGTTGACTCAGGTCAACTGTCTCTGTGGGTTTCCCCCATCATTACCTTGACCCTCCTAGCTCATATAATCCCTCAGGACTCCTAGATCTCAGCCCAGTGCTTGGCTGTGGATGTCTGCATCTGCTTCCCTCAGTTACTGGATGAATGCTCTCTGATGACAATTAGAGTAGTCATCAATTTGATTACAGAAGGCCAGGTCAGGCACCCTCTCCACTATTGTTATGAGTCTTAGCTGGGGTCATCTTTGTGGATTTCTGGGAGTTTCCCTATGCCCAGCTTTTTTTATATGGGTGCTAGGGATCCAAATCCTAGTCCTCAAGCATGGACAGCAAGCAGTTTACTGACTGAGTCATCTCTCCAGCCGTGCAATGTGTGTTAGCATGGCTTCCTGGTGACACCGAGCTACCTCTCCAGCCGTGCAATGTGTGTTAGCATGGCTTCCTGGTGACACCGAGCTACCTCTCCAGCTGTTCAATGTGTGTGTTAGCATGGCTTCCTGGTGACACCGAGCTACCTCTCCAGCTGTGCAATGTGTGTTAGCATGGCTTCCTGGTGACACCTAGCTACCTCTCCAGCCATGCAATGTGTGTTAGCATGGCTTCCTGGTGACACCGAGCTACCTCTCCAGTTGTGCAATGTGTGTTAGCATGGTTTCCTGGTGACACCTAGCTACCTCTCCAGCTGTGCAATGTGTGTGTTAGCATGGCTTCCTGGTGACACCGAGCTACCTCTCCAGTTGTGCAATGTGTGTGTTAGCATGGCTTCCTGGGGACACCAAGCTACCTCTCCAGCTGTGCAATGTGTGTTAGCATGGTTTCCTGGTGACACCGATTCACCTTAGAATGTGAGAGCCTGTGGTATGAACTATATTATCTTATGTTGATGAAGAAAATGGGACCCAGAGAAAATAAAAGATGGACTTGCCTGGCGTCACCATCACACTGTGGATGGCAGCCGAACAGGATCCAGACATCTGGAGATGCCAGGCAGCCGGGGCAAACTGAGCACCCCGGAGGCTGATGTGGTCACAGCAGGTGAGGTTTTTAGGAAGAAACACACCACAGAGATAACGTCTGCAAAGCTCCCCCAAGACATCAGTCTCCTAGGCTGCCACTCCAGAGGGGACAGCACACTGTGTCTCGGATGCAGTACTCCTATGTGAGCTACGGTCCAGTGAGGAAACAGATCAAATTAGCAATCCGATGAGGGAAATGTTATACAAAGTGTTGCCTGAAAGACGTTTGAAGACTGAGCCTGCACGGCTTGTGCCTCCAGCTGGTGTTTCCAGGCCTCCTTACCATGAGTGTGGTCCTGTCGCCTTTTCTGAGCACCCGTTTGTGCCTTCCCTTCACATTTCCTCCATGTCTCTGACAATTTGTTTCCTTAGTTTAATAGTGAATGCGGTGAGTCACTCAGAAAACAGCAACACATTCTCTCTCCGCTGAGCTCTAGACTGGAAGTCCCTTGTGCATGCAACACACATGCCAGCTGTGACTTAAGACGCTTTCCAGTTGTCAGGGGTATCCTGTCCCTCCTTGCCCTTGCCCCACCCAACCCATGCCTTTAGCATGTGCCGTGACTTGGCTCTGGGACCTGGCTGCAGCACCTCTCCTCCAGACCCCTTGTCTGAACCCTCAGGAGTGTGAGCATACTTCACTGGGTCTCCTGTGTCTCCCTGCTCTCACCTCAGTCCTACAAGGCGGACGGGGTGTGGCTTATAGTGCAGCATGGTACTACCTCACACTGCCTGAAATCTTTTGTTGGCTTCCCATAGTCTAAGACTCAGATTCACATAAGCCTCCAGGACTTGGTTCCAGGCAGAATCCTCCAGCCTCAGGCCCACTGCACTGCCCCCAGTGGCAGGAGAGAAGGGCAGGGCAAGAGAGGTCCTCAGCGTGACTCCCTCTTTTCCTGCCCTGAGAACTGCTCCCAACCTCTCTACTCTGGGCCACTCCAAACCCAGCATCTCTCTCCTGCAGACCTGTAGCCCCCATACCTGTCAGCACTGGACTTCATATACGCCCTCCTTACACAGTAATTATCTGTTTAAATCACACTTATACATGCAAGCACATGCCTAAGAGCGTTTAGCTGCGACTTTCCCAGTTCCTACCTCCAGGGTCTCACTCCGTAGCCAGGCTAGCTCGAACTGATGCCCTCCTCTCTCAGGCCCAAGTGTGTGCCACTATGCCTCGCTTCTTTCAACCCTCTTCCTTCTGGTTTGGCGGCATGTGCGTGGGTTCTATGTGCCGGTCGGCTCACTCAGCTCTCACAAGCACCATGTGAGAGGCCCTCCGTCACCATCTGCGGTGGACAGCATCCGCACCAGCATGCTGACGGTCCCGCCTGTGTCTCACTGCAGTCTCTACTACTGCTGGACCTGCAGTTTAATCCACATCTTCAGCATCCCACAGCTGTCCTTATTCAAATGAAACAACCTGACATTCCATTAGATTCCCACCTCTCCTCTACTGGCCTTCATAACCCTCTTGTAACCACCTCTAGAACAATCCTGGCAGAGCTGGTCAGTACACCTCCACCACCACCCTTATTTCTAGGTGTAGATCCTCCAGTTCTGCAGGACACCAGTTTATGGAACTGTGTCGACTGGGCTGTAGGAACTAGGATCACTACCATATCCCAGGTCTTTACCTCCTGATGTTTAGCTGTCTGACTGTGGGCCCAATAAATGTTCAACAAATGAATGAATGAATGACCAGTCAACTGGAAATGAGGGTGTAAACCACATGTGCACCAGAATCCTGGCTCCCTCTATTCCATCAGTTGGAGAGACTTGCTGCTTCCTCAGGCTCTGAAGCAGGACAATGGAGACCCGATGGCAGAGGAGGAGGACACAGTAAGAGAAGAAAATGGATTCAAATCTCACCTCATAACGCTAATGCATGCCCTAATGCATGCTGCTCAGCCTGCTGCTCCCGTCGAGCAGGAACTGGTACGTGGGCATGCCTGCGCACCGGTACTGCATAAGCAGCACCTATTGTATCAGGTGGCGGGTGGGAGCCCAGGATTCACAGGAATGCCCAGCTGTGCCTTAGCCATCCTAGATGCTTCCAAGACAGTGGTCCACCCCTACTGACTACACGCTAGAACCAGCTGGGCAGTCACTCAAAGACCGTCGTCAGTCTCTTAGGCTCTCATCCTCATCACGGAGGAAGAGCCTAGCAAGTGCCTTGTTGAGATGGTGAGCAATGGCGAGGAACTCACCTGCTAAGAGAGCAGCAAGCGTACGGACCTGGCAGCCTGAGGCCCGGCATCCACACATGTGCTGCAACACACACATGTGCTGTAACACACACATGTGCTGTAACACACACTGTAATTCTTCAAGTTTTAAAGTGGAAAACCCAAAATTTCCTAATCCCGAATACTTCACAGTGATGAAATAGATCATCATGACTAAACTCTCCGTCACAACCCATCACCTCTGAAAAAGGTCGTAACAAAGCTCAAGTGTTTATTAAGAATTAAAAATACTGTAAATAAGCCATACAGTTCATTTCACAGTAAACTAACAAACCTTGTTTTTCTTTGCAGTTTTCTTTTTTAAATCTTTTTCTTTCCTTTTTTGGGGGAGGGGGGAGGCGGGGTGGGAGGGAAGGACAAGGCAGCCATTGAAGACAACACAGCTCACGGGGCACAGGAAGAATGGGCGGGGCACGCGTGATCCTCACTGACAGTCGGCTCAGGCGACAGGAGACCTCCTCAGGGATGCTGTGATAAAATAAAAAGATCTGGCCTGCATCTCCCAGGGAGACGCACAAATCCTCTGTGGAAAGTACAGCTCAGACACCACAACACCAGGGACTTCACACTTACTTGTGACCCCCCCTAAAGTGGTGACTTAGGTGGCTCCCCAGGAAGGAGGACAAGGCCCGGGGTGCTGTCCTCACACTCAGAGCCTTGTGAGTTTGCATAGTTACCTTTGACAGCACTGCTGGGACAGAAAGGGACCCTCAAGCAGAGGCTCGGGCTCTCCTCCGCCCACTCTGGGCTCTCCTCTATGAGCTTTTACCAGTTCTAAGTGGAAGACAAGTAAGACGCATAGAAACTCTGGCCAGGAGTATAAAAAACGCAAAATCAATTTCCCTTAAAGACAATGAAAACGAAAAGCACCCCCTTGCCGCCCCCGCTTTTGTTGTTTTTACTATAAATCTGTCAAACGGGATTTCTTTTTTCTTTTTCAGGTTAGTCTGCTCCCTGTTAATCCCCAGCTAAAGCCACCGCCCTCTTCCTAACAGGAGCCACACCCCTTTTCCTCACAGGGCTGGGCCTTCAGGAAGCCAAACCAAAAGCAGAAACAGGATTTCAGAAACCAAAGGTGTGTGGTAACAACTGCAAACTAATTAACCCTGCACAGGACACCAGACTGTACCGAGATGGCGTCTACTGCCTTCCAGTGGGGGAGTGGCAGGAAGCCGGTGCGCGGGCACCCAGGAGGAAAGGATGGTTTTTTCTCTAGCTTTTTTGGTCGTAAGAAACTGGACTATAAAGCAGTTCATTTAGATCTTCTCGTGAATCTTTTCAACTTTCACAAACAACCTGTCGAGATCATTCCTCAGGTCATCCAGCACGCCCTTGGCTGACTCCAGGTTGTTCTCGTTTGCCTCAATTTTGACGGAGTAGGCAACCAAACTGTCCACCGCAGTCCTGAGCATTTTCAAGTCTGACTCCACTTGGCTCACTGAGGACTTGAGGTGGTCTAGAGAGGAGAGCCTGTCCAGGAAGTCCTGAGGAGGCGTGGCCTGGGCGTGGTCCTGGCTGAGCAGTGAGTGCACCCGTTCTTGCAGAGACTCCACCGTGCCAGGGAGCTCGCCCAGGCTCCGCTGCAGCTCCTTCACGCTGCTGGCCAGCGTCAGCTGGGCCTCCTCCAGGCTCCTCACTGTGCCGGCCAGATCAGAGGAGGGCTCCGGGCTTTCCAGGTGTTCCTGCAGCACAGCCAGGCGCTGCTCATGCTCCTGGCTCTTGGACAGGAGCGACTCCAGGCTCTCCGTGTGGCGTGCAGAAGCCACCTGCATAGAGTAGACCCCGTCCTCCACGTACTGGAGCCTGGCACCCAGGCCCTCAACCTGCCTCTGGAGGTCATCTAAGGCGCTGGAGTCTTTGAAGACGACGGCCTCCTCTGCCCCACGGGCCTCAGCCTTCAGCTGCTGCAGCTCCTCTTCCAGTCTCCTGATGTCCGCGGGGAGGCGAGAGGAGGACTCCTCAGACCGCAGAAGCTTCTCCGTGAGGGCCTCCAGAGCCAGGCGCTCCGAGTCTGCAGCCTGCTTAAACGCCTGTTGCTCCTGCTTGAGGCTCACTAGCTCCCGGACCTCGGTGTAGACATCAGACTCCATGGTCTGAAGGGAACTCTGCAGGGCCTCGATGTCCTTCTCCCTAGACTTCACGGAGGCCTGAACCTCCTTCAGGGCTTTCTCCAGAACTTTCAGGTCCTGACTGCGATCGCCCTGGGACTCCTCCAGGGAGGCAACCTTCATCTTGACGTCATTTATCTCCTTCTGGCCTCTCTTCTGCACATCCGTGAAGATGGCGATGTTGTCATTGATGGACTTGGTGAGCTCCGTCAGGCGCTCCTCCACCGTGTTCTCCAAGGATGTGAAGTCCCGCTCTCGGGCGTCCTTTACCACATGGATCCCGTCTGACAGGTCTTTGAGGATCTCATTCTGCAGCTTCTGCAGAACCTCGCTGATCCGGTTGATCTCACTCTCCCCTTGCTTTACAGCTTTCTCTGTGAGGTCCTGTTTATGCTGAGAGCTCCTCAGGATGGACTCAAAAGTCCCAAATGTGGCTTGCAGGGACTGTACCTGCAAGCAAAATCCAGATGTTACCACAGAGAACAGACCTGGCGTGTTTGAATACAAGACCGCTACTTTCTGCACTGTCTGCTGTATCCTCCCAAAGTCAGTTACACGCTGACTGCTGTGATAAGGAGTCAGCTCATCACCCAGCCTGACCAGTCAACACGGTCCATCTGCCTCTCTGAGGCAACGTGACGAGCCAGGGATGGCAATCGGCAGGCAGGCTGATGAGGAGGGAAAGGCCTTTCCCACTGGGTGAGGGAGGCCTGCATCTGCTCAGACCAGGAGACCATCAACACCCATCCACCAATCAAGACAGCACGCAGAGAGACAGAGCTGAGGCATGGCCAGATCAGTTCTGAAGATGTAACTCGATCCCTGAGTACAGCCACACCTTCCTTGAACTTTCTAGTTTGGGCCAATCAGAGCATTTGCATTCTCCTCTCCTCTTCTCTTCTCTCTCTCTCTCTCTCTCTCTCTCTCTCTCTCTCTCTCTCTCTCTCTCTCTCTCTCTCTCTCTCTCTCTCTCTCCCCCCCCATCTGCTATTTTAGGGCTGGCTTATCTAGCTCTTGCAACTGAGCATCACGGATTTCCTCAGTAAAGAACCAGAGGTATGCGGAGGCCCTGGGTACAACGTGAAGAGACCAAGTGCGGTCTCACATCCAGCTGCCCCCCCCCCCCCCGGACTTGAGTGTCCTCATTTGAAAATACAAGCAGTAGGCTGACGACTCCTTAGAACACTCTGGTTTTTGTGAGCACACTGTGACTTTATCTGCTGCTCGAGCATTCTGTATAAACTCTGTTCTGAACTAGGCTCAGTGCTGGCCCTCCAAGCGAGCCAGTCTAACACACCGAGAGGCTGTGCTGATCAAAAAGCTAGTTCTTATCATGATGTGACATCTGTGTCATTTAGTGGGGAAAACTTTTAAGGAAAAAAGAATAATACGGCCAGCAGTGTGGCCTTGGTCCTGTAAATTCTAGGTCTGACTCCCATTCTGGAACATGTAAAAGAGACTCGCTATGATGTCATAAGGTTGGTACCAGCTAAATCCAGTGTGGCAGTTCTTTAGGATGAATGATGTCACTAATGTCAACAACTAAATGTATTTCTTAAAAGGGGGGAGACAGATGTTCTAGACTAAACTAAATTTAAGAGTTTTTTCAGGGGCTGGAGAGATGGCTGAGTGGTTAAGAACACTGGTATCTCTTCCAGAGGACCCCAGTTTAATCCCCAGCAGCCACACGGCTGCTCACAATGTCTGTAGCTCTAGTTCCGGATGATCTGGTGTCCTCCTCTGGCTTCCTCAGGCACCAAGCATGCATACATGCACACATGCAGACGCAAGACCCAACCACACAAAATAAAAACAAATCTTGAGGGGGGTGGGTTCTCTCAATTTAAAAACAGTACAAGAGTGTGAAATCAGGTAAATACATATATGTACATATACACATATGTGTATGTATATATTTATATGCGCGCGCGTGCGTGCGTGCGTGCGTGTGCGTGTGTGTGTGTGTGTGTGTGTGTGTGTGTGTGTGTGTGTGTGTACTCACAGACAAGCACTGGGACTGGAGATACACCTTAGCTGGTAGACTGTTTTTCTAGCCTTCACAAGATCCTAGATTCAAGCCCAAGCACGTAACAAGTAGGATCTGGTAGCATATACCTATAATCTTGACACTCAGGCGGTAGAGGTAGAAAGATCAGAAGTTCAAGGTCATCCTAGGCTACACAGTGAGTCTGAGGCTAGCCTGGACTACATGAAACCCTATCTTACAAAAAAGTGACATAAATAAATAAATAGAACAATGCAGGCTCCAGGGCCAGAATGGGTAGGCAAATTTTAGGTTAACGCTGTGCTGCCTTTGGATCTTGAAGTTACACAGTCTGTCTGTGTCTTAGTTTCCGGGGGTGGGGGCAACACAAAAATAGTACCTGACTCGCAGGACTGTCACCGTGAGAGCTAAATGAGTCAAATGCACCAAGTGCTCAATTGCGCCTAACTAGATGCTCATGCACAGCAGCTACCGTCTTCACCACGGTTACTTTATCCTAAATTCCTCAGAAGCTCAGGGAGTCCTAGTGGCCCTCAGGGACGAGGACAGGATGCCCTAGCCACAGAGTGCTCACCATGCTCTAGGAACCCAAGATCATATCCACTTCCCAAGCCCCAGGTTGTTGGCAAACGGGGGTCTCTCAAGCCTCTTCTATCTCATCCATCTGTGATTTTCTTTTAAGGTAGATGAGAATGGGGTTCCCAGGGGCTCCAGAAAGTAGACAATTTCCCTCCCCAGCCAAATCTAACCTGAGACATAAAGACACGGTGAGAAGGCACTAGAGAGAGGTGACCTCTAAAACTAGGTTAGTAAATCACAATGCCCTGCTGTTCTAAGCACAGCACTTAAAATAGAAGCATGAGCGGCTGAGCCCAGCACCTGCAACACGGCAGGCTACTTTCAGTGCTTTCTCAATGGACCAGAGAATGCAGGAATTCAGAGCAATGCTTGATAAGGCTTGGGCGGGCAGGCCTAGTCCCTATTTAATCCCGGGTTGGCTCTTTACAAATGGCTAGGAGGTGATTTCGATCAGAAACTATTACCAACCCCCAAAGGAACCCTGTGTCTCCCATACTGAGGGCGTTGTAGGTTGTTCATCTTTATACACAGAAAGTTCATAACAATTAATATTCATTAGATGCCTGTTCTTCTAGAATGTGTGGGATATCCACTGTACAGTAGGTAATGGGTAAGATGCCAGAAACAAAATAATGGCTAGATCTCTTCCCTTCCTTCAGGGAGCCTTGCTGGAGTAAGGATGGACAGTCCTACTAATGGCTGACAGGCAACGGGGCACTTCCTATGCACCAATAACTACAGACGGAAGGGGTTGAGCCAAGCATCACAATCCCAGAACGTCTGGTCTCAGGGCCTGAACTATTTCAAAAGATGCTAGAAGGTTACCACCCCCAAAGCAAGCCCTGGCTCCTCCTCACAGAGCCAAGAAGAGGACATGGGGGCACAGAGACCTCCTCCCTACCAATCCCAGACCTCTCACAAGCAGCACCCACCAGCCTGACCCACTCGGGCTACTGCTTTATGAAGCCCTGGGGTGGACCAGGGCAACGGGGGCTTCTCTAGGGGCTGTAGTCGAACCGCTCACATGTGCTGAAGCCCTGGACTTCTTGTGGTCCAGTGGTACAACCATCTACACACTGAAGTGGGTAATATGCACGATACACTACATACCATCTACACACTGAAGTGGGTAATATGCACGATACACTACATACCATCTACACACTGAAGTGGGTAATATGCACGATACACTACATACCATCTACACACTGAAGTGGGTAATATGCACGATACACTACATACCATCTACACACTGAAGTGGGTAATGATACACTACATACCATCTACACACTGAAGTGGGTAATATGCACGATACACTGCATAGCATCTACACACTGAAGTGGGTAATATGCACGATACACTACATACCATCTACACACTGAAGTGGGTAATATGCACGATACACTGCATAGCATCTACACACTGAAGTGGGTAATATGCACGATACACTGCATAGCATCTACACACTGAAGTGGGTAATATGCACGATACACTACAGCTATTTTAATATCACCACTAACTCTTCCCAGAGGTGGCCACCACTTCAACAGCTCTGCAGCCTTACGGATTCCTGCAAAGCCTGTGCACGGGTGTGCGTGACACATGTTTGCGTGGATGTGCTGTGCGGTGTGTATGTGTCAGCAGAAGCTGACACTGCTCTCCACCTTATTTTTTTGACACCAGGGTTCTTACTGGAGCGGAAGCACATCCATTTGGCTGGACTGGCTGGCTAGCAAACCCCAGAGATAACTTCTTGTCTGTGCCTCCCCAACACTGGGATTTCAAGTGCGGACTACCAGAGCCAGCTTTTTACATGGGTCCTAGAAATCTAAACTCAAGTCCTAATGCTCTCATAGCAAGCACTTCACTGAGCGGCCATCCCCGTCTCCCCTGCCCCCATTCTTACAATGAGAAACTGAGGCCCAAAGAGGAAAGTGATCTGCACACAGCTACAACCGCGGAGGGGTGAAGCCAAGGGGGAGATGGGAAGGCTGCACACAAAATAACACCCAGTGTCTTCAACCCCGGATTCAAGACAGCCCCAATTTGGGCCTCAATTTCCAGCTTCCCTGTCATTTCCTGAGTGCCACTCTGTCACAGGAAGGCCAGTCACCTCCTGTCTTCAGGCATGTTCACGATTGTTTCTCTACCTGTATGATCTTCACAGCTTTCTCTTCACAGTTCTGGCGGCTGCATTGTGCCAAGCACCCAGGGACAGACCCAGGGAAATTCCACAAGCTCTTCCTTCCCAAAGTGCGTGCAGTCACCCACCCCTCACGTCTACCTAGTGTGTGCCTTAACACTTGCCTTGGGCCTTTTCCGCCCTGGGGCCCACACAGAGCCACGCAACTACCAGGCTTCAATAAACGTTAGGACCCATTAGTAAGTGGCGGGGTGGGAGGGGAAGCAGGAGCTAGGGACTGGACTCCTCAGCCTGGCTGTCTGAGGCTGATCTGACGCTCTGCAGGCATAGCAGAGTGGCCTACTTGATTCCCTCAGAGAAGTCACCCCCTCACAGGCTGACTCACCCCAGTTGCTCTTCCAGGCTTAAGAGGAAATTCCTAGTGCTGCACGCTTAACAGAAGCAGAGACTTGGCAGGGCAAGCAGCATGCTGGGAAAGGGAGACAGTGGTTCCGGGGGTAGAAAGAGGCGGGAGTTTTTGTTTCCACGCAGCAACCGAGTTTCATTGAGCAAGGATATGGTGGAGGGTGGAGGGGACCTGGAAGGGGGCCGCGCTCTGGCTGGAAACTAAGCAACTTTGCTGTGGGGTTGGATTCAGCCGTTCCTGAAACAGCTCGCTAGGGATTCTTGGTCACATGGTGGCCCAGGCTTTCTCATACCATCTGCAACTCAGTCAGATGGGGCCCTTGTCAACTGACTTTCTGTCTCTAAACCTCAGTACTCTGGTCTGCAAGATGGAGTCACAATTGTCAGTCCTCCCTTCCTCTCTCCAGGGTTAACTCTACAAATTAGAAAATAAAATGCATGAGTCTACACACCATGTAACTGCGACTCGATACCTTTGGCCTGTGTTGCCTCTACAGCTGGAGTGGGCTACTTCAAAGGCCCACATGGGCTCACTAAAGATAGACACCATTCCATCTGAACTTAGCAAATGACTAAGCTCACTAGCTTTTCCTTCCTCCAAAGCTCTGGGTCTATTAAAAACTGGCTCGGATGACTCCCACTGGCAGAACCGAGGTGAAGCCTTGACCCAAGACTTCCAGAGATGCAATGTGCTGGCCATCCTTCCAGCCTCCTTTTCAGGCAACTCTGCCTATTCAGCGGTTCCTAATGCAAAAAGAATGGGCTCCGTGGGGCCTGCCGGCTTCCTTACAGGTCACCGCTAATGTCCTGTGACAGGCCCTTGGCCCACCCTCCCACGATGGTCTGGCCATCCTCGCAGCCTGCCCCATCCCTCTCCAGGACCACTAACAATGAGAGTCTGGGGCCGCCCTGGCCACTAGGGAGCTGGGGCCCCAGCTCTTGCCACGGGGCCTGGGCAGGAAAGGACGAGGGTCTCTTCAAGGAGGGCAAGAGCGGGGTCCCGACCCCGCCAAAGCCGGGGTACCCACCTTCTGCTCGACGCCCTGCAGGCTCTGGCCCAGCTCGTCCCTCTGAAGGGAGAAGTCCTGGTGGCCGCGCCGGACCTGCTGGACCTCCTCCAGGACGTGATGGACACACCAGCCAGAGAAGGCGGCCGCCGCCACCAGGGCGAGGTAGAAGAGAAAGTTGAGCAGCCGGCCAAGCCTGCGCGAGCAGGACGCCGAGGACGCGGCTGCGGCGGCCGAGGACCTGCCGCGGTGGCCGCCCCGGTGCGCCTGATTCTGCGGGTGCTGCTGCTGCTGCGGGTGCGGCGCCGGCGGCTGCGGCTGCTGCGGCGCCGGCGGCGGCTTCTTCGCCACGTCATCCGCGCCGCCCGACGGGTGGGCGCCCTTGTCCGAGGGGCTCGCGGCGCCGTGGCTGCCCTTGGAGCCCCTTTGTTTGGCCGAAGGCATGGCGGCGGCGGCGGCGCGGCGGGATGGGCGAGCGGGGCGAGCGGCCCGGGACGTGGCTCGGGCTCCCGCGGGGGCTGCGCTGGCGGCACGCGGGAGCGGCGGCGTCGGAGCGGCCCGGAGCGTGCGGCGGCGAGGAGAGAGGCCGGCCGCGGAAGGAGGAGGGGGCCTGGCTCCGCCGCCGCCGCCGCGGCGCCGACCCCGCCTCCCGGGAAGGGAGGCCGAGCCCAGCCGGAGCGCCTGCCACGCAAGCCGGCCGCCGCCCCTCCTCCCGTCGCTGCGACCCCGCGGAGGGCGGGCGGGGCCGGGCAGGGCGCGGCCGGGCGCGGCTGCCAGGGTGGCCGAGCCTCCCAGTGCCCCCGCTGCCCTGGAGTGGAGTCGACAGGGGTGACCCTGAGCGCTGCGCTGGGTGTGCAGGGAGGATGCAGGGGGCGCGGGGAGCGCGGCTCTGGAGGGTGGGGACCCGACGCCCCCTTGCCCACCGCGAATCCGCAGACACCCCTCCCCCAAGGCCTCACTGCAAGCCCGCAGCTGGGCCAGGCCTGCTTTTCCCGGGGGCTTTTAGGCTCGAAGGCCTGCACACAAGCACCTTGGGTATGAACTGTAACTTGTCCAAGGAACTGAGTTGCTGTGTGGCCCTCTTGGCCCCCGACAGTCGGCCGTAGACAAGTCCCCTCCTCAGCCCCCTTGGCTCTGTTCTCTTTTGGGGTATCATACAGTCTCACCACAGCTCCTGTTGCAGGCAGGCTCTGGGTTGAATGTGGGAACGCCACCAGCACCCACACTTAGAGGGACATAGGTCAAGGTCACTTCTAGGTTTGAGGAGGAGGAGGAGGAGAAGGAGGAGGAGGAGGAGGAGAGGAAGAGGAAGAGGAAGAGGAAGAGGAAGAGGAAGAAGAAGAAGAAGAAGAAGAAGAAGAAGAAGAAGAAGAAGAAGAAGAAGAAGAAGAAGAAGAAGAAGAAGAAGAAGAAGAAGAAGAAGAGAAATATAACAATGCCAAGACCCGGCTTATCAACTTATATGCGTTCTGAAACCCTTACAAAAGCCTTGAAAGGTTGGGACTATATTGGCCCATTTTATAGGAAAGAAACAGACTGATCCCCGGCCCCAACAGAACACCTCAAGGTCACACAGCCACAATTCTGTTGCTTCTGATGGGACTCACGTCTGCCTGGGAGGGGAGCAGGGCCTGGGGAGCAGACTTGCCCACTTTCAGGTCAGATCCATTGGTTCTCCAGTCAGGAGCCTCTGGGGCTCACCCCACACACAGCCAGCTTCTGCTGCAGCCGTGGGGTGTGCCTGGCAAAAGTAGGGGTGCCATTTCTTCTGTGTGTAACCTCCTCCCGCTCTACTTAAAACAAAGTCTTCGTCTTTAAAGTCAAGCTCAAATGCCACCATTTCATACTTGGGCTGTTGCAGGCCCAGTAGCCCTCTTGGCATAGGCAATGGCAAGGAGACATTGATGTGCCCCTTTGCAAGAGCAAAGCTTTGCCGAAGACCCCCTGTGTGCCAGAGATGTCTGTAGGCTGCTGGCTACACCTTCCTTGAGGATGACCATTGCTCCTCATTCTCGTCAAAGCTCACCTTAAAACCCGGATGGGCACATGTGTGTCTGCGACCATCCTTGTCAAAGCTCACCTTAAAACCCGGATGGGGACACGTGTGCCTGCGATGGTGGGATCTGTGTTACACCTGGGGAGCATGCTAAGGCCAACACCTCAGAACTGAGAATGTAAATGTAAAGAGAACTTGGAAAGCAAACCTTGAACTGTACACAGGGTACACAATTAAGAATGATTTGGAGAATGGATTTGCATAGTGGAAGAACAGGAAGGATTTTTCTGAGGCGGAAGTGGGTGGGCCCAGAACACCTGTCTTGACTAGAAGGGCGTGTGCTGCGTCTAGAGATGAGCCTGACGCAGTGGCTGCCGACTGCAGAAGACAGCAAAGCAAGCAGAAGAGGTACTGTTAGTGTGGGGAAATGGCACAGAGTAAATTAAATTTGGACTGGAGCCCACTCTGGTGAAATCATCTGCTCTACCCAGAAGAGAACACCCGCCATGGGCTGAATAGCAGGAGCTATAGCAAAAGCCTCCTACTTCAACAAAGCATGGGATTCCACAGCCTGCAGGACAGACAGAGAGACAGATGAAAACAAAAAGCTGGGTTGTCATAAAATGTTCGAGACTATCTTGCTTAAAAACCACCTAAGTTCAAGGTGTGTTTAAAATCGCTGATGTGCGAACAGAAACGCTCCTTCATTACGTGTATAAGAGGACAGGGCCAGTAACTCGGGCAGCCTGCTGGAACCCAGCCCAGCTCTGGCCCAGAGGCAGGAGCCCTGTCTGCTTTTTGAGCCATGGCTTTACCACCAAATTCTGTGACCTTGAGGAGGAACTTAACCTCCCCTCTGGATTTCAGGGCCACATTCTCTGTAAAGTGCATCTCTAAAGCTCGTTTTTATTATGACATTAATCTGTTCCATGAAGAAAACAACCACTTCATTGTTAGTGAAAATAATCAATGATCTTTGGTTGTTTGTTTTTTGAGTTTCGTGTGCAGGGCAGAGATGGGAACGGGAGGTTTCCTCAGCTCTTTGCATGTTGAGCACTGGAAGACTAGAGAGTGGCAGGCTAGAGCAACGGCTCAGTTGATACCGTCCTTGCGTACAAGCACAAGGGCCTGAGTTTGATCCCCAGAACCCATGTTGAGTCACACCAAGACTGGGGAGAGGGTTTGCTGCACAAGCTTGAGGACCCAGGGTTCGAGTCCCTGGGACCCACATAAAGAGGCAGTCCTGGTGCAAGGTGGGACAGAGAAGTGTGATTGCTGGGGCTTGCTGACTGCCACCTGCTCCAGGCTCCTAGAGAGACGTTTGTCTCAAGGGAATAAGGCAGAGGATGATGGAACAGGAAATCTAGTTTACATATGAGTGCACACGGACTTGTGCACTGGTGCACACATACACAGACACACACACACAGACACACACACAGACACACACACACAGACACACACACAGACACACACAGACACACACACACAGACACACACAGACACAGACACACACAGAGACACACACACACAGACACACACAGACACACACAGAGACACACACACAGACACACACACAGACACACACAGAGACACACACACAGACACACACATACAGACACAGATACACACACACAGACACACAGACACACAGACAGACAGACACACACACACACACACACACACACCAGAGGCAGTGAGGGTAATGGTTAAGACTGTCTCTGGAATAAGTTGACTTGGGGTCGCATTCAGGCCCAGAACCTCCTGTAGAACATGATGACCCTGAACCTCAGTGACTTCATCTATCAAATGGGATAATAAGAATGTGTTTTGCACTGTGAGGGTTGCAGGAGTGATACCACACGACGCCAACTTCATAGTAAGTCTCTGTGAAGAAAGGATAGCTTAATGCTGTTGGCAGAGCTGCTTGGGACAGGCAGAGCTTCACAGAGCTCCTGTGTCCAGATTCAAGGATTTTCTTTCATCATCGTTTCTGGGAGCTCCCCACGCTGAATGTGGCTCACAAACCACTGGCTATGATGTGTTTAACTATAAAAGGCAGTCAGTGTTTTCCTGTGAAGTAGGGTGTTTGGTTACACCCATAGGAGGAGGAACCTGCCCAGACCGTCATGGAAGCAAAGCTTGTAGGCACTGAAGGTTCTGGAGATTTCCATCTTGCTGACTTCATCAGTGTTGGCACAGCATGCCTTCAGGGGACTTGCCCTTTCTGTTTCCTCCTCATCTCAACTCCTCTATCCCTGTTTCCTTCCCCACCCTAAAATGTGTAGGATGAGATCAGGACCATGGAGGAGGGGCCAGACAAATGTCTTCCAGCTGTGCCAGGATGCCTCCAAACAGCCTCATGTTTGCATGGACTAAATTATAAGAGTTATTATAAATTATAAATTCTGAGAGTCTTGGTTTCCCACACTTCAGCCCGAGTGCCTGAATGAAAAGCCCCCCCCCGGGAATGTCAACTGCTTCTCCTCTGCACTGAAATGATAGGTCCCCAGAAGCCACGCCACAGGTCCCCAATGCATTCGAGAGTCAGCGGTGCAATGCTGCTTCGTAGTTCTGCTTTGGACCACCAGGACCACCCATCTCTCAGTGCCACGGATTAGCAAACCGTTTTGGCCTTTCCTTCTCATTTTACCCAGCATCTCCCACTTCGCCTGAGATGCTGTGCCCCTGATGTCAAAGCTGCTCAGCACCAGGCGCCCAAAATAACGTCTCTCTGTTTAAGGGCATGATGTCCTATTGTCTGTGTCCAACACATCTCCACTAGAATACAAGTCACATCATCTATTATCATTCATGCTACATCACAGGTCTCTCCCGAACCCTCCTAGGATGTCCCAGATGCCCATCCCCCGTCACTCTCCACTCTTCAGTGCTGCGCTGGCCCCTATCCTTGGTATGCCAGAAATCTTTTGTTCCTTCCTTCCCTTTTTGTTGCCTGGGTAACCTTATGCCCCTGACTTTTTCCTTTCAGGGACCACTTTGTCCTGCAGAAGCTTTTCCTCCAGCATTCATTTTTCTCTACCACATAATTGTTTGCTGGCTCTTACCTTTTTCTTATCACATATTTAAGCTCCAAGCTCCATGAGTAAAACATTAGCTGACTCAGTTTTGTATCCCCAGTGCCTAGAATGATGTCTGGTATATACAGTAGGTGCTCAATGAATGTTATGACTATCACATTGCCAAAAACCCCTTTATGTAAGAGCCAGCGAATGGGAAGGGTGCTTTAAAAATGCCACCTACACAGCACGTCATGGCCATTTCGCCCATTGCTGCTATGGTTACCTGTACAAGATCAAGTGAGTCAGACTTCAGGCATAAATGTCAAGTGCTCTCCAAGCCCACCCCTTAATGAGCTTTTGGGGGAGGTTTGTGGGATCTGGTGACGGTCCCACAAATATGCACATATTGACAACACTAATTTGATTCTGTGTTTTTTTTTTCTTAAGGACGTGAAATTTGAATGGGGGTTATATTGGGGGAATCTCTGAGGAGATGATGGAGGGCATAAAAATCAAAATACGTTGTATACATGTATAAAATTCTCAAAGA